GGGGGGGGGCGGGGGCGGGGAGACTCTTCCAGAGAAGGACTCTACGCAGGAGAAAATAGCTAAATACAAGTCCCAGCCCTAAGGACGTGGAACCCAAGAGAAGACCTGGGGCCACCGGGAATCATTTGTTTCAAGTCGATTATGGAATCACTCAAATAAAAAGTGAGTTTAGGAAAGGAGTGGGGGGCGGGGAAGACAGTGAATGCTGAAGACAAGGCCTTCAGGGGCCTTTGGATTGAAAGGAAAGGCAAAAGGAGAAAGAATTGAAAGGAGGACCACTAGAATGTGGATGAGCCCTGGACCGTGTAGAATGTGGATACGGCCCTCCCTCTTCTGGGCCCTGTATCTTCAGCAGCAGAGCCTTTTCTACCCACCCTAACCCCTGTCCTTTTAGCAAATTCAGGAAAAAGAGAGTTGCTAGGCAGAGAAACACAGTTCACCCTGCTCCTTCTAACGTATTCTCGCTACCGGCCCTTGCAAGAAACTATCCCATCAATTTAGCTACTCGAATTGCCTTAAAAATCAAGATAGTGCTGATTAAATTCATTTTCTAGAAAGCACGGTGCTTTTGAAGGAGAGAAGCAGAAGAGAAGGATCCGCCTTTTTCCACCTGTCAAGACATTCAAGTCGTTAACACATGATAATTGTGCCCCCCTGAAGGAAACTTCTTTGTGAAAAATAATCAAATGTTCAGTGCACTTGACAAAGTTTTACTTCTGCGAAGCTCCCAATTTGCTCCTAATCTTAAAAAAAAAAAAAAAAAAAATTAAAAGAAATAAAAGTAGTATACGTTTTTGTAAGAAAAAGAAAGGGAATTCTTTATGAATGGAGAAAATGCAGCATGAGAAAACTTTTCCATTGTGGAAAATTTAGAAACCATCGAGACCAATTTTTAGCTAGCTTCTGTATCAAAATTTGTGGTTGAGCTTAATTTTTTTTTTTGTATATGTGAAAAATCAGATCTAGTAGCTTAAACAAGCACCCATAACTCTCATTACCAGAACGTGTGCCTCACCTCCTGATAATATAGGACATTTTACACCGATTTCACGAATTTTCATTTCTTGTGGAAAGCAAGTTTGCTCAATAAGCAGTAATACCCTTACTTTCCACCATTCTCCAGATGGAGGAGGATATAGGCAGTTTGTAGGCGAATGTGACGCTGGCATCATGCGAACCTTTTATCTTCACAGACAGGCCAGTGAGAATGGAACCCTGAGCATACTTGGCCGCAGCCAGGACTGATGTGCGCCCGGAAGGAATGAAGTATGGATGTGAAGGAACGGAGGCCTTACTGCTCCCTGACCAAGAACAGACGCGAGAAGGAGCGGCGCTACACTAATCCCTCAGCAGACAGCGCGGAGTGCAGGGTTCCTACGCAGAAGTCTTACAGTTCCAGTGAAACCCTGAAAGCTTTTGATCACGATTCCTCGCGGCTTCTTTATGGAAACAGAGTAAAGGATTTGGTTCACAGAGAAGCAGATGAATTCACCAGACAAGGTAGGTCATTGCTCTAGTAAAACGAAGCACGCTCAGCTCCTGCTAACTTGCAGGTGTCACTTTTTTCCCTTCGAGGTGATAGGATTATTTCTTAGATTGATGTCCTATCCTCTGATTTAGCCTTTGAGATATTAGATGATGCCCTAGTATTCCACATTAAAGGTAGAAAGCCACCTATGGACACATGGACCCAGATGCAGGTATGGACCCACGTAGAGAATCATCCCACACCCCGCATCTCGTATGTGAGGTTGCGATTCTGCGTGGGGTCCAAGTGTTGGTGCATAAACTTGAAACCCAGGTCTCCAGGGCTCCCTGCCAGGCTCAGGAAGGTGCACACAGACACTGTTTTTGTAGTTAGAACTGGTGTGAGGAAACTCATCTTTCCCTCATAAGAAAGTAAGAATTCTTCCTCTGGATCATCTCGTGATCCATCTGGCCCAGCTGTTTGTGTCTGTTTATAGAAGAGCCTGCGTCACAAGGGTTCCATTTTCTCTCTCGAAGGCAATTAGGGACATTAAGTTCAGGCCTTCAAACATCCTGGTTTCCCATAATGTAATCCATTATGGTTTGGTCATTCCCATGTGTTTCTTGGACACTTTCACGCTCTGTCTTCTGCCTGCGTGTTCGACCAGTGCAACAGCGACGTCTGTAACTCCACTTCACAGTCCTAACCCTACTGATTTCCATGCTGTAAAGACAGTGGCTTCTTTAAAATGAGGCACACAGAGGGACATTTTGTTCCTTCTAACACCGTCTTGAGATGTGGGCAACGTTACCACTAATAAAAATAAAATCCTCTTACATCTGCGTTGCACAGTTCATTTACCTAGAACTTAGCATCCCGTAGCTAATTTTATCAAGAAACAAAGAAAAATAAATTAAACTTCAGAAATAAAGAATGTATTCATTATTTTCCAGTCACCTTACAGACCGTGTGACTAACAGTTTGATACTGAACAGAAACAAACTTAAGGAAAAGTAACAATGCTATAAGTCATTCCAAAGTTTGAAACTTTTCCATGGTTCTTTCCTTCTCTACGCTGTGGAAAGAGCCATCCTCGATAGACTGAAATAGCGTTCCCTCACCTAAACCAGTTTACGTCAAGAAGACTCATTTGATTTGCCCGAGAGATTGTGTTCCCCGCGAAAGCACGCCTTACTAATTACAGGTATCAAATTATATGAAAGAGGAAAGACTTGCTTAACATCTCAAATCCAGTTTTTAAGGGAAATACAGAACAGATATTTGAGATAGGTACTCTTGCTAAATTTAGGGGCTCGAGTTCATTGTCCCATGTGTGATCACTCTAAACCCCATTTCTTCTTTCATAATCTCTACACAGTGAACAGAGATTAGCAGAGTACATTTTTCACCAGTTTCAAAAATAGCAGGTGCTGTAGAAATGCAGGCACCCTGAACCCGGTGTGAAGTCTCACCTTTTGTAACAAAAATAACCTTTATTGCCCTGTTGGCAAAGAAAACGCTACATTGTGGGATCCTGTGAGAGGGAACAAAGCAGCACATGTGGCGTGATGCGCCGCAGAAGCACATCTCTGCCCCAAGAGAGCGTTTCGTTTAGGCAGAGAGGATGCTTAACGGGTTGAAAATAGCGAGCCGAAGTTTTCACCTCCCAGGCAGCGTTCATCCAGTGCAGGCTGTTGCTGATGACACGGCGAGACCATCTGTGGAAAGCCCGGAACCAAAGTCTTAGGGGACCAAACATCCCTTCCACCCAGCTCCTTGCCAGCCAAGGACTAGAGAGTGAACAGGGCAGAGGGAAGGGACAGAGACAAGGCAGCCGACAGGGGCCACTTGTCAGGAGCGGCCGAGTGCAGTGGTGAGAAGAGGTTTCAGAGCGGAGGTGGAAGGAAAAGCAAAAGTGCAGCGTGCGGAGGTGCTGCCATTCGCTTAACGTGTTCATAAATCAGATCGTATTAAAAACATAAGTGGAATGCACTGCTGTTGACAGCCGAGGCGTGCTGATTCCTTACCTCGTTCCAGTCAATGTGCTAGGAGTCACGTGCACCATCACTGAACTCTCACAGCACGTCGGGACGTAGGGCCCAGGGGCATCATCCTTTCACAGGTTGAGACGGTCAAGGCTTGGAGGCCTGAGATCCCATGGCCAGTGAGGGCCGTGCTGGGACTTGAACCCAGGCCTGTCTGCCCCCAAGTGCTCAGGCTTCTAACCTCTGTGCAGTTGCCAGAGCAGAAAAGAGGCAATTCAGTGTCAACCTTGCCCTTTGGTTTCTTGGAGTCGGTCTTAGCCAATTTTGATGGTACCGATCGAGAGAAATGAGGAGACTGGACACATATTTGGGAAATAAAATGGACGTGATTTTGTGACTGGGTGGATGAGCATGTGGGGAAGAGGGAAGCATTGCAAATGCTTTTTTTCCCTGTGCTTTGATGTGGGGAATATTTGTAGCAGGAGCGGCAGATGAGGTGAGAAAGGAGCAAGGGAGAGTCTGCTATCGGATGGTGTGTTTCCCAAGCAAGCATGATGAAGAATCCTCCCAGCCTTTCATTTTCTTTGAACCTGACAAATGTCAGTTTTTCCTCCCTATTATGCTGTGGTATTAATTATTTAATTGACAAAATGTGCTTCCTGCCACAGCTCCTGACATCATACACATAATAAAAATGAAAGAGTAAAAATATTAATAGTAGCCAAAGACCGTCGAAACTCTCCCAAAGAATCATGCTAATTGAGCTTGTCCATGGAGTTTCAAAACGCCTTTGCCAGGGCTTCCCTGGTGGCGCTGTGGTCGAGAGTCCGCCTGCCGACGCGGGGGACGCGGGTTCGTGCCCCGGTCCGGGAGGATCCCACGTGCCGCGGAGCGGCTGGGCCCGTGAGCCGTGGGCCACTGAGCCTGCGCGTCCGGAGCCTGTGCTCCGCAACGGGAGAGGCCACAACAGTGAGAGGCCCGCGTACCGGGAAAAAAAAAAAAAAAAAACGCCTTTGCCGGTCCAAATCCACTTCTTTGAATGACACAGGAAAATGCGTCTTCAGCCGGAGGAAGGGATAGTAGAGACGCCTGTTAATGCAATTACATGGAGAATTCAAATCTAGAAACACCATGATTTTAGTCAACTATAAAAAAAAGAAATGTAATATTTTTATTTTTATCGACCAATTTTATGGCCTATTCTCAAAGTTAATTTTAATCATTTTTTATGGCTTTACTGACTGGCAGGTGACTATTGTTAATTACGCGATATATCTAGATACTGTAAAGCTAAGGAGGATTTCCTTTTCACAGTAATGTGTCATTTGACCGGTTCTCACACAGATCTCTTTCTCTCCTTTTAAATCTCTCCGTGTGGTTTACTGGGTGGTGGGAATAGTCCTTTTAGCAGCTGTGGAGCTCTCTGTGGGTGTGATGGGGTTAGGCTAATAGTGGCTTCTTTGGCGTTCTTGGATACTATTTTCTTTGATTCATCTTTGAAGGGAATTTATCCTGTCAGATCTGAGACACATTTCTTATGAAACAGCTGCATAAGATCATCCCACAGTTTTTAGAGAAGTGATAAAATAAAAGATCTTTCCTTCTCTGCACTATGTACATTGCCTGTAATGTCCTTGACCAAACGAGAAAGCTCATCAACTCCAGTGAGGAATGTTGGCCATGAAGGTGAAGTTTGAAATGAGGTGATATCTGGAAGTGGGAACACTTTTTTTCCACGGAGCCCTAACCCTGGAAGAAAAGGAAAAACACCTCTGAGACAGTCTTAACCCAAAGTGTTTGCCCGTTAGTCAGTCATCAGTGTTGTGGTTGTGAATTTCAGAATTTTAAAATGAAAAGCCTACCATTTATTCTTCATTTATAGAATGTCAGGGGAGGAAGGTTACCTGTTTTTAAATTTGAAACGCAGACAGCCTTATGTCTGTGTTTGTACGCACCTGAAATCAAAGCAGATAATAAACTTACAAAGCAGGAAAGGGAAGGAGGAAGGTCGCTGATTCCTGAGTGGGGCTCCCTGACCGCTTGCTTCTGGTCCCAGCAACTCTCCTCTTGCCTCACCGCTGCTCTGGGATTTGCCTTCTCTTCCTGCTTGTCGCCATCAGGGGTGCTCAGCAGCCCCCAGCTCCCACAGACACGACTTCTCGCCTCATGGTACTGCTGGCCCAAGGCCGGTTGCAGTAGGGTTGGTGGGAAAGGAGACGCCACAAGCCCTGAAGCCTCCTGCTGCACCTGCTTGGTGGGCTGTGTCCTGAGTCCCGGTCCATCTTTTATACAAGATTCCGGATGCTATAGACCTTCCCCTGACCAAATGTGACCCTCTTTTGCGAAACAAAAGGGCATGAGAGGCGCGGTCTGAGTTCTTCTGTACACATGTATCCAGGACTCTGGTATAAGGGTTGTTCGAGTGATGCCTCATTTACCCACCTCCCAAATGGCTCTTTACCCCTCCTGAGTTGAGCAGTGATATGGGTGCAGATGAGGTCTAGAACCCTCGTAGTGTCCTGGTGGACAAAGCCGATGCAGGTGCTTTTCTTCTTGGGCCAGATGAAAGCTCGAAGTGGGGTGAAGCCCTAGCGTGAGGATCAGAGAGGACGCTGTGGCTTCACGGTGCCGGAGAGAGGCTCCCCGGCCCCTCCCACTCTACTCACGGGAGTGGACGTCGTACTGCAGGGGGAGCCGTCTTCCTTGGCCCCTCAGGAGCTGAGGGAGCCTAAGTGGACACCTTTTCTCCACTCCGATACTGTGAGAGTGCCAGCCCCGGAACCCAGGGAGTAGAAAGGCTTGTCCCCAGCGACTAAGACGACTTGTCACTGCTTCCAAGGCAGCCCCCAGGAAAGCAGCAACAAGCTTAATGGCTCCCAGCACATAGGAGGTGAGGTAGGATACAAAACAGATCAGGAAGCTCCGAACGCAAATGAGCGATGGTGAAGAGAAGGAAAACCCAAACCCAAATGAAAGATTATAATAAGAGCACTCCCAGACATCTAAGTACAAAAAAAAAAAAAAAAAAAAAAAAAAGCGCACAGTAG